TCTAGCACTCTCCCGCCCTGGCCCTGCTCCCACGGTGGCGTCTACCTCTTCCCGAATCTGAGCGACTTTATCTGCAAAAAACTTTGCAAAATCATTGCAGGAGATCATGTGGCCCGTACTGGGCCCCGATGTAGCAGGTGGTTCCGCTAAATTGCGGACCACCTGAAAAAGTCTCCTGCTGCTGTTTTTCTGCAGATGCAATAGAGGCGGCGAAGAAGGCCTTCTTCGCCGTCGCTACCGCCACTTGGTAGGCTCGACACTGAGCTCTAACCTGTGTCCGGTCAGCTTCAGAATGGGTCATCCGCCACCGGCGCTCTAAGCCGTCTCAACGATTGTTTCATTGCCCTCAGATCCGTGGAAAACCACGGGGCTGTCCGGGCTCCATGCAATCGGAGAGGGCGCTTCGGAGCCAAACAGTCAATAGCCCTGGTTAACTCCACATTCCAGCGGGCCACCAGGGAATCAGCTGAAAGGCCATCAACATGGGATAAAGCATCCCCTACCACTCTCTGGAAGCCAATTGGATCCATTAAGTGGCGGGGGCGGACCATCCGAATCGGTCCCACCTCCCTGCAGAGGGGAAGGGTCGCGGAGAAGTCAAGTTGCACCAGGAAGTGGTCTGACCATGGCACTTCTTTTGTTTCGCTTTTATTTAGTGTCAGAACACCAACATCCATGGAGGTAAACACCAGGTCCAAGGCATGTCCGCGGCTATGGGTTGGGCCAAAGTTATTCAGGGACAGCCCCATGGAGGCTATGCTTTCCACGAAGTCCCGAGCGGCCCCTTGTAAGGTCGTGTCGGCATGGATATTAAAATCCCCTAGGACAACCAAACTAGGTGTCTCCAGGAGAACATCCGCCACGACCTGAAGCAGCTCGGGCAGGGAATCCTTGGTGCAGCGGGGAGGTCGGTACACCAAAAGGAATCCTGTACTGCCCCTATTGCCCAACTTCCAGAACATGCACTCAGAGAACTGGGTCTTCCTAACAGGACGCCTGGTGCAAACTAATGACTTCCTAAAATCACTGCAACCCCCCCTCCCCGCCCACAAGGCCTGGGTTGCTGTGCGTAAGAGAAACCCGGTGGACAAGCAGCGGCAAGAACAGGCCCATCTGCTTCATCCAACCAAGTCTCTGTTACACAAGCCAGGTCAAATCCTCCATCCATGATCAAATCATGGATGGCAGTGGTCTTATGAATCATTGACCTGGCATTGCACAGCAGCACCTTCAGGCTATGTGGGTATCCCTTGCTGATTCTAGTATCCGTCCGGACAGGACCAGACCCGGAGGCAGGGATAGTCCTCAGACAACGACTAAACCTGCCTCCTCTGTAATGACATGGTCTGGTCTTAGCGTAACTCCTCCTCCTACCCGTGATCACTGAGATCGGTTGTCCCAGCGCATCCCCCTCTGTGGAACATGCCCCAGCCATTTTGTTGGCTGGGACCCACTCCTCGGCAGCCCTGACCCTTCCCCTTAAGAACAAAACAAGACCTTAAAACAATAAAAACAAAAACAAACAAACAAACAAACAAAATTCAGAAAACAAAAAGCAATACAAATGAAAAACTATAAAAATTACAAATCCATTAAAATCAAACAAATTCCCAACTAAACATCCATCCCACCCCCATCCCCGTCCCCACATATACAAAAAAATAAAAGGAAAAGGAAAATTTTAAAACATTTTAAAAGGAACTCTGCGCCCCACCGGATCCCCCTGGGCCGCAGCAGCAGTGACAGCAACCATCCCTGTGAGTCCTGCCAGGCCCTGCCCTGGGCCAGATGGTGAGTGGCAGGAAGGAGCAGGGCCCTCAGACACTCACACAGGAGAGTCCTCCTGGGCAGCAGAACGCAGTCCTTCAGGCCCCGCCCTGGGCCAGATGGTGAGTGGCAGGAAGGAGCAGGGCCCTCAGACACTCACACAGGAGAGTCCTCCTGGGCAGCAGAACGCAGCAGTCCCTGTGAGTCCTTCAGGCCCCGCCCTGGGCCAGATGGTGAGTGGCAGGAAGGAGCAGGGCCCTCAGACACTCACACAGGAGAGTCCTCCTGGGCAGCAGAGCGCAGCAGTCCTTATGAGGCCTCAGGCCCCGCCCTGGGCCAGATGGTGAGTGGCAGGAAGGAGCAGGGCCCTCAGACACTCACACAGGAGAGTCCTGGGAAAGTGCTTCAGAAAGAATAAATGGAAAGTGCTTCAGAAAGAATAAATGGGGGAAAACACATTTCTTCCAGTTAGTCGTATGATGGCTCATAGGGAAGGGAGGCTCCTTTCCCACTTTATTATTTCTTCCACTGCAATCTGTGCTTGACATATTATATGCCTGCTTTTACATGGACCCCCTCTTTCCCTTCTTGTGAAAATAATCGACCCTACTGATATTTCTTAGGTCTGTATGGGCTCTGCTGAATTCCTGCTATGAAGAGGAGGAGGAGGAGGAGGAGGAGGAGGAGGACGCTTCGTCTGATGAAGGGAGAAGAAGAGGTTGAAGAAAAGTCAGCTGCAGACATGAAGGTAAAAGGGGAAAAAATAGAAATACAAAGTAACATATAACACTTAAGAACATTTTTAAACAACCCCACTCCCGATCTATCACACCCATCCAAGTGGGGCTTGGTCTCATCCCCCCTAACCATCACAGTACAGTACAGTAAAAATACAGTAAAGTATTTTTATTTATTTGATTCGGGTAGGGCAGCACCTCCTGGCTTCACCCATGTTGGTGTGGTTTGTCTCCCTTTTTCTGTTCTTGTTAGGCTATCTAAAGGTGACAAAGCAATGTATTGAAAACTTAATTTCTTCAGATGAACCATTGCTTTAACCAGGTAATTACTCAAGGCACCAATTCTTTCACCTATTGATTTATCCAAAAGTGGTACACTTGCATGTTACATCTTAAGATAAATGTTTTGGAAAAGGCATAAATTTAAAAAAGATAATTAATTTGCAAGCAAATACTTGATTACCCAGTGAATTAGATAGGCAGTGAGCTGGCTGATTTGTCTAATGGAGCATCCAAAAATCCAGTTTGGGTCTATAAGACCCAGTTTGCTCCCTCCCCCTAATGGCAGCCCTCTATTGCTTTCTGTTTGATTTTTTTAACAGATACTCTGAATTGAACACCACAAGAATAAATGGGGATCAGCCCCTGCTGTAGTGGTCAGCACTAAAAGCCATTTGAGTAATTCAGATCAATAAAGTAGGAATAATTAATATTTACAAACCAGCAACTTCATACCAGTTTTGGATACTTGCAGCAGCTTGCAATGTTAAGAGAGGTGCTCTAAAGAAAAGCACTTTCTACATTTATGAGCCTTCAAAGTAGGCTCATGGTTTTTCCTTTGCCTGGAGGTATAAACGTTGTTAGCATATGTGCAATCACCCTGAGAACTTCAGGCCTGCTCCTGACCATCAAAATGCTCTTGGAGAGGCTGTAAGCAGCACTTCCTCTGCTCTCAGTCAGCAAAAGGGGATGGCAAGGTGTGCTTCATGGCATAACTTAACTTGCAGCTGCAGGAGAAGTGTAGATCCCTCAGCCATACCTAAATAGCCTTCAGAGTGCCATTTAAGAGTGCAACAGCTAGGTGTGCTGTGGACACAAAGGTTGTGATGTTGATCCCCGTAAGGGACATCTTCAAATTCCTGCCTTGTAGCAGATTGGACTGGATGACCCTTGGGGACCCTTCCTGATATATATTCAGCCACTCACCCACATCATATGATTCTTTGGAAAGTGCTTCAGAAAGAATAAAGAGAAATAGCATTCCTTTAAGTTAGTTGTAATTGTCGGCATGCAGAGGGTTACAAGGCCAGCTGGCTAGCCCCAGCTGGATCGTCTCCTTCCAGCTGTCACGCTGCGAAGACCCATCTGCCTCTGTTCCGACGTAAATCAGGAACCCAGGTTTCAAAGTCAGGGCAAACTATATCAGTCGAGTGAACTGCGCATACAGAATAGACGTGAGGCTTGTGGAAGCATACTACAACTATGGATTTATTAATCAATAATCAGGAAAAAGAAACATGTCATCTCTCTCCTTGTCTGGTCAGAGAGATGGAGAGAAGCAAAAGGTATACAGTGGTACCTCGGGTTAAAGACGATTCAGGTTACAGACTCCACTAACTCAGAAATTGTACCTCAGGTTAAGAACTTTGCTTCAGGATGAGAACAAAATCGTGGTCCGGCGGCACTGCAGCAGCAGGAGGCCCCATTAACTAAAGTGGTACCTCAGGTTAAGAACAATTTCAGGTTAAGAACGGACCTCCAGAACGAATTAAGTTCTTATCCTGAGGTACCACTGTACACACAATGGAAGTTCTCAGCAAGCTTTGCTGGTATGTAAACAGACATGTGACATGCAACAGTTCCATGTCTGTAACTAAAGGTGGAATGGAATTTTCCAACAGTAGATAGCCTCAGTTCCTGTGAGCTACCTTATTATTCATTGTACATTAATTTGAGCTTGGGAGTTCCTCTGCCTGTTTTTACATGGACCCCCTCTTTCAGTTCTGAAAAAACCCCGCCCCACTGATATGGGCTCTGCTGAATTCCTGATCTAAATGGGCTCTGCTGAATTCCTGATCTAAAAAAGGGGAAGGAGGAGGAGGAGGAGGAGGAGAAGAAGAAGAAGAAGAAGAAGAGTTTGGATTTGATATCCCGCCTTCCACTCCCCTTCAGGAGTCTCAAAGTGGCTAACACTCTCCTTTCCCTTCCTCCCCACAACAAACACTCTGTGGGGTGAGTGGGGCTGAGAGACTTCAGAGAAGTGTGACTGGCCCAAGGTCACCCAGCAGCTGCATGTGGAGGAGCGGAGACGCGAACCCGGTTCCCAAGATTACGCGACTATCGCTCTTAACCACTACACCACACTAGCTCACAAGAAGGGGAAGATTCGCCTCTCGGAGGGAGGGAGAAGAAGGGCGAGAGGGGGAAAGGGAATCTTTTGAGAGAAGATGCCAATGCCCCCAAAAACTCCTTTAAGTTGATTTTCCAGACATCTGATTTGCCCATCAGCGTGGCAGGCAAAGAAAAGAAAAGAAAAAAGTGGCAGAGGCAGCTCCCAGACATCTCCGTGTAGTTGGAAAAGGTGGGTTGCCTGTATGGGCTCAGCTTTATTCTTTAATGTTGAATGCTACATCTGTCTTAAGTCCACTTCCATCCACTGGAAAAGCTTCTTAGAAGCAAGGAGTAAAGGGAATGGTGGGAAATACCTATCTATTTCTCTAAATTGGTAGGACAGTCCCTACACCTCCATAAGGTCTGGTCCTTTCCAAAGGTGTAGCCTGCCTTCTGTAAAGGTGGATTTCAGGTCAAATAGCTGGTTGAAAAGTCTCTTTTTTATCCTTACATCAGTAACCCTGGCAACCTCCCAGATAACAGTATCTGTTCCTCGATGGTCAGGGTCAAGGGTCAAAGGGCTAGGGTCAGGGGTGAGGGTCGGGTGGGGTTAGGGTTAGAGGGTTAGGGTTAGAGGGTTGGGGTCGGGGGTCAAGGGTCAGGGTTTAGGGTTAGGGGGTTAGGGTTACTCTGCCAATTTGTCCTTACCCACAACAACTTCAAATTCGGTGATGACCTGTTCCTTCAGATCAGCGGCACAGCAATGGGCACCCGCATGGCCCCACAGTATGCCAACATCTTCATGGCAGATTTAGAACGTTTCCTAAAACTCCTACCCACTCAAACCTCTCTTGTACCTGCGATACATTGACGATATTTTTATCATCTGGACCCATGGTCAACAGACCCTGGACACCTTCCACCAGAAATTCAATGAATTTCACCCCACAATCAACCTAACAATGAATCAATCTATGCAAGAAATACATTTTCTGGCCACTACTATAAAATACAGGATGGGCGCATAGACACCACCTTATACTGTAAACCAACTGACCGACAAACATATCTACATGCCTCTAGCTACCATCCCAAAACATACCAAACAGTCCATTGTATATAGCCAGGCACTACGTTACAGCCGTATCTGTTCCAATTCTACAGACAGAGACTCTCACCTAAGAGATCTACAGCAAACCTTTTAGAACTAAAATACCCAGCAGATGAAGTTAGACAACAGATCAACAGAGCCAGACTTATACCCAGAGAGAACTTGCTGCAAGACAGACCCCAAAAAAGAAAATAACAGAAACACCTCTAGTCATCACATACAGCTCCCAAGTTAAAACAGTACAACGCATCATCAGAGATTCTACAACCTCTCCTGGACAATGACAGTTCTCTTTCTCAAGCTCTGGGAGGAAGACCTTTCATTGGCTACAGACAGCCATCCAATCTTAAACAACTCCTAACCCACAATAATACTACAACCAGACTTAACATGGACACTGGCACCAGAGCCTGAATAAACCCAGATGCCAACTTTGCTGCCACATACACCCGGACAACACCATTACTGGCCCCAACAACATCACACATACCATCTCGGGACTATTTAATTGCTCATCGTCTAACATTGTGTATGCATCAAATGCCAACAGTGTCCTTCAGCTCTCTATATTGGACAAACAGGCCAAACCTTACGCCAAAAAATAAACGGACATAAATCTGACATCAAGAATCACAGACAGAGAAACCAGTAGGAGAACACTTCAATCTCCCAGGACATTCTATACAAGAACTCAAAAGTAGCTGTTTTTACTACAAAGGAATTTCAGAAATAGACTGGAAAGAGAAGCTGCTGAATTGCAACTTATTACCAAACTTAAAACCATGGAGAGACCTGGTCTGAACAAAGACATTGGATTCTTATCTCATTATACATGACAAAGCCATTTTTCACCTTCTCACCCCTTGCTTTTTCCTGTAAGACCTATTGCAGTCGTTAAGAGTCGTCAACAGGCTCATCACAGCTATCTGCCAATCACCCATTCCCACCACCCTTCTGAGTAATACCCCTCCCCACCTTCTCACATATAGAAGGATCTTGGCAACTTCTGTTTCAGTGTATCTGAAGAAGTGTGCATGCACACGAAAGCTCATACTAAGTTGGTCTTTAAGGTGCTACTGGAAGGAATTTTTTTGTTTTGACTTGGCAGATCAACACGGCTACCTATCTGTAACAGGGTTAGGAGGTTAGGGTTAGGGTTTAGGGTTTTAGGGTTAGGGTTAGGGTTTTAGGGTTAGGGTTTTAGGGTTAGGTTAGGTTTTAGGATTGGGGTTGGGGTTAGGTTCGGTGTCAGGGGCTCAGGGGCTGAGCCAAAGGGGAAAGAGGAGTTGGAGAGCAAAGGGGAGGAATCTGAGGGGAGCTTAGGAGGGTATGACAGTGACCCGAGAGATTCCATGAGTCTCTCCAGCGAATCAGAAGATTCTCAGAAAGAGGCGCCCAGGGTCAGGGCAAGGGGGGCCAGCGGGGAGTCCCCAAGCGGCAGCTGGAGATCAGGGCCAGCTTCCCTGCCAGAGCGTAGCGGGGGGGGGGGGAAGAAGCCCACAGATCAGAACCGGCGTCCACTCCAGCAGGGAGAGAGAGAGGAGAGTGGAGGGGCGGAGCGGAGGTCAGTTCCAGCCAGCCCCTCCGAAGGAGGAAGCAGTGACAGGAGCAGTGTAGCCGTTAGGAGGAAAGTGGCCGGCTGGGCGCGCGAGCCAAGTTCAAATGTGCAGGCGCGCGGGTCAGCAGAAAATCCGGATTGGGAGCCAGGTCCCAAAGCCCGCCGGAGACAGGGGGAGGAGTCAGAGGAATCCGCCTCCGAAGAGTCCAGGAGGGGTGGGACCCCAGGGGGCAGGGGGACCCAGAGGAGAAAAGAGCAGAGGAAGAGGTGGAGCAAAGCTCGGGTGTTAAACTGGTGTAGGGGAGGGGAAGAGTCAGACGGAGCTTCGACGGTCTAGAGTTACAGACGTAGGGCTGCGCGCCACGGATGTAAAACCAACAATGAACTTCAATAAAGACTTCTGTATATAAAGAGACACTGGCGTTGGTCCTTTGTGAGCTGGGACCTGAGGCACCCCTGACATTATGGATATATTGTTTTCCAACCTTAACATTTCCACTTTTCAGAGGTACAAAACTGCTTGATTCTTTTAGTTTATTAACTGGCATTTAAATCCCATAGACAAAACAAATCCTCCTTAGAGGGCATCTTGTTTTCGCTGAGATTCCTGCATCGCAGGGGTTGGACTAGATGACCCTCAGGGGTCCCTTCCAATTCTGTGATTCTGTGAGTTGAACTGAACTGGCTGACGCAGAACGGTGGAGTTGGGAACCCCAAAGGTCATCCACTCCAACCCCCTGCGATGTAGGTTGGGGGGGTCCGGCAGTGGAGAGACAAGGCTTGTCATCCCCCCCAGACACTGGTTCACCTCCCCCCGCTTTGTCCCCCCGGCAGACCCCTCTGGGGCCCTGTGGGGCGGTCAGGCCTCGGCCACCCCCCCGCCCTGGCTGAGTCCGGATGCCAGCGAGGCTGAATCCTCCTGCGAGATCAACGCTTACGCGCCGCAAGAGTCCCACTTTGTCCCCTGGGCGGAGGGGCTGGCGGGCGGAGGGGGCTGCCCCCGCGCCCTGGAGAGGGGCAAGTGGCTCATCGCCAGCATCCAGGCCCCCGACGCCGAGTTCGGGGTCAGCAGCGTCCTGCACACCGAGGAGGCCCCGCCTTGGAAGCAGCAGGATGGGGTCAGCAGCGTCACCACCACCGCAGGTACCACCTGGCGAGCGGAAGGGGAGCAGCGCGGCCTAGTGGTTAGAGCCCTGCGCCAGCAGCCTGGGAGAGAGGGACCGAGGGCCAGTCGGTGCTCCTCAGGCAGGCCTGCCTGGCAGGGTCAGCGCGGGGGAAGGGGAGGGAGGCCGCCTTGAGCCCCTGGGAGGAGAAGGCGGGGCAGAGATGCAGTTATTTAAATTAGGAGTGTCCAAAGTCATTGGTTACACCCTCCTGGGGGGTGGGGGGCACCGTGGGCCAATTGGAAAGCGGAAATCCCTGGATCAAATGCATCTGCTGGGTTGAACTACTTGGAGTAGTTTGAAGTGGATTTTGAGTCATTTGGCAAGCAATTGTTGCTCTTTCAAATCTTGCTTTCCTCTTACTGGGTCGTGCAAACAGTTGTTCCAAACCATGCCTCTTTTAGGGCACTGGCTGAAAGGGAGAGCGTTTATGGGGGTCTCCCCCAAATTTGAGAACCACAAAATTAAATGGATAAATCAAATAGATTGTGGGTTTGTTCAGAGCCGTCTTTCCATAGGGCTTAGTGATGCGTCGCGCCAGGGCGCTGGCCTCTCGGGGGATCACTCTCCTGCATTGGCATGGGGGAGAGTTGCGCCCCCCACAATGGCTGGCAGTGCGCAGCTACGGCCACCCCAACACTATCGGTGGTAATTTGGGGGTGCTGGGCAGACATTTGCAGCCTGGCGCCGCATCTGCTAAACACGGCCCTGGGTTTGTTGTTTTTCCCTTCTGGGATTCCTCCCTTGCACGGGGGGTTGGTCTAGATGACCGCTGGGGATCTCTCCCGCTCACCTCGCCCTCCTCCCTCCTTGCGCAGCGGTGCTGTCGGTCTTCACGCGGACGCCGCGCCTGGAGTCCCGCCTCGGGCGCCCGGCGGTCCTGCACTGCGGCTTCTCGGCGCCGGCCTCGGCCTTCTCGGTGGAGTGGCGCCATCAGTTCCGGGGGGCCGGGAAGGTGGTGCTGGCCTTCGACGGAGCCTCGCGGGGGGTGTCGGTGGCCGAGGAGGGGGCCGAGCTGCTGCTGGATGCCGAGGGCGGCGGCGCCTCCCTGCGCCTGCGGAGCGTGGCCGTCCGCCACGAGGGCACCTACATCTGCACCGTCTACCTGCCCCACCTGCACGCCCAGCAGGCGCTCGAGTTCAAGGTGGTGGGTGAGTGAGCGACCGGGGGTCTCCCTCGCAGGGAGGGCGGAGGGAAGGGGAAAGGGGGGTCCACTGCCCAAAGGGACCCCCATGGAGCCAGCATCTTGTATTCTCACAGTGGCCAAATGCCGGCCAGGCCCTAGGGATCCAGATAGACTGCTCCTGGGCCTGGAGGCGCCAAAAGAACATAGGGAGAGTGCTTAAACCTCGCAGTGGCCAAATTGCCCTGAGATCCCTGCCTGGCAGGGGTTGGGCTAGATGACCCTTGGGGATCCCTTCCACCTGTCTGATTCTAGGCTTCTAAGAACCAAGCGATCCAGAGAGACTGCCCCTGGACTGGGAGGCTCCTTAAGAAGCGCCTGGCCACTTGGTCAAGCCAACGGGGACCCTGTCTTCCTCAGGATTCGAATCCAAGAGCCCCCCTCTCCCCTCCTGGCAGCTGGGAGCCTGCAGTGCTCCTGGTTGTCAGCAGGGGGCGCTCTGCTCACTCCCTCTCCCCCTCTTGCCCTGCAGAGCCCCCCCAGGTGACACTGCGCCCCACGACGCTCTCGGTGCCCCCCGGCGCCCGGCCCCAGCTGGCCTGCGAGGTCTCCGGCTTCTTCCCTCTGGGTGCCTCGGTCAGCTGGAAGCGGAGGGGGTCCGGCGCCCCCCAGGACGCCTTCCTGGACATCGGGGACTCGGGGCACCGCCAGGCTCCTGACGGCACCTTCAGCTTCACCAGCTTCGCCCGCCTGCTGCCCGTCCCAACCGAGGACCACGGGGTCTCCTACGTCTGCCACGTGGGCCACGCCGGGCTGGGCGAGGCGGGGGTCAAGAAGGCGGTCGTGCTCCATGTGGCAGGTGGGGGTCTGCACTTGGGGGTCTGTGCCGGGGTCCCCTGGGGGCTGGGTAGCAAGGCCCAGAAGACCGGCTGCGGGTGCGATTCCTGACTGGCGGAGGTTGGGGGGTCGTCCGTCCTGGGTGATTTAGCTGGGATTCCTCCCTTGAAGGGGGTTGGGCTAGATGACCGCTGGGGTGCCCTCCCAACTAGGATTCTGTGAATTGGCACTGATCAAGTCAGGCATGGGGTGGAGGATATGGAGGGTGGGGCGAAGGTGCAGCTTTGGGACCTGCAATGGGTGGCCAAGGCAGGGTGGGGGTCTGACGTCGCCCCCTTCTCCCTCGCTGACGCCCCCCCTTCTGCCTCTGCCCCTTCTCCCCCCACCCAGGGTCCCTGGGCCCCTCCCTGGAGGACGCCATCGGCTTGTTCCTGGTCGCCATTGTGCTCCTGGGGGTCTTGCGGTCCTTCTTCCGATGGGGTAAGGTTGTTCCCACCCACCCCTTCTGTACTGTTATTTTTGTTATCAATATGGTCCTATTTTACCATTTGGTCAATATTTTAGGGGATACTTTAGCTGAGATTCCTGGGGTCCCTTCTGATTCTACAATTCTAGGATTCTATAAATGTGCACAGCACCCCTATTTCGTGGATCTCCGGGCAGTTTGCGGCATAAAAATGCACGATGAAAACACAACGTACATAATAAAAATGAGAACCAAAACAAATAACCCAGCCTCCCTCAAGTCTAATTATTATAATGAAAAATAGAAATATTTTCCTGGGGGAGACAATTCAGAATCTATTAAGACCATGCAAATATTGACAGTAAAAGCAGCTGAGAAATCTCTCCTCCACCACCTGACCCCTTTGAATGGCGGAACTGGCACTGGCCAATTGACTCTCCTTTCCCACAGTTGCCAGTACAAGAAGCTCAGCTGGGAGAGCCTGAGACTCTTGATTTCAGGGTTGTGGGTTCAAGATTCCTGCCTTGCGGGGGGTTGGACTAGATGACCCTCGGGGGCCCTCCTGGCTCCAACAACCTTTGGAACTCCCTGCCTCTTGATACCAACCAGGCGCCTTGGCCAGACTCTCTTTGGTCGCCTGCTAAAAACATCCCTGCCCAGCGGCTCAGAAATGTTGATTTCCGTTTTAGCTTTCCGCATGCTTTCAAGTATTCCTGTCCATTTCCCTGGGTTTTCTGGTCATTCACCTTTCCCTGCTTCATTTTCCTCCTTTTCAGCTTCTGAAGAAAAACCCAAATCGGAGAAGCCCAAATCCGAGGTCAGTGCCCAAGATTCTCCCAAGACTGCCAAGTTCTCTCGATTCCTCATTTTTCTATTCTTTAAAAAAAAATATCTCTGTGCCACTCACTGAGAGGCAGTGCGGTGCAGTGGTGAGAGGGCCAGACTAGGCCCTGGCAGAGAGATCTGGGTTTGAATCCCCAGTCCCTGGCCATGATGAAGCTCGCAGGGGGGCCGGGGGGGGGGCAGGATCCAGCCTGCCTACTTCACAGGGTTCTTGTGGAGCAATTCCTGCAATTGCAACCCCCAGCCAGCTAATGTTTCGTCTCTGAATCGGGTCAGAATCTCACGGATTTCTCTTCTTTCTGCAGTAATGGACTTTGGGCAACCCAGCTCCCGGCTTGGTTTGTTGCCTGTCTCCGGATCCCGTTGAAAGGGCGAAGTGGATCGTAGGCCCCCGGACTCCTGGGTCCCTCCTCTTCCGCTGCCCAGTCTTGCCCCTCCGGCCCCTTGTTGGAAGCCCCTTCCCCTTCCTTTGTGGGGGTCAGGGGTCTGCTTGGCTTCGCATCCTGCAGATTCACAGCTGTGATTTCAAGGAGGGGGGCAGATCTGTGCATAGCAAAAGCCCCCCTTTCTGACAGTCCCTGCCCCTCCTCACTTCCGTGGTGTGAAATTATAGAAGTGTAGAATTGGGAGGGGTCCCTGAGGGTCACCTAGTCCAACCCCCCGCAAGGCAGGAATTGCATCAAAAGCACCCCTAAGGTCCTGGGCCGCAGACTCTGCACATGCTCTGGGAGACTCTTGACGGGGGGCCTGTGCTGTCTTTGGGATTGTGGGAGAGAACCTTTTTGGAGGAGGGGAGACTGACTTGAGCAAGATTGGCATATCCCTCCCCCCCAAAAAAAATAAATCAATCAGGGATCCTCCACTTACAGAATGTGTGTCATTGGGTGTCCCTTTACCTCCCCCTCTGGGGGACCTGAAGTGGTACAGTCCAGAGCCAAGTTTATCCCCTCTAGAGACCTGGGTGCAAAAGGAGCCCGTTTCCCCGCAACATCCCTGCAGAGACGGCCAGGCAGAGCAGCTTTCGTTCCCCTCGGCCTTCTCTCTCGATATGAACAAGGACCTGCCCCCCTTCCCTCCCCCCAGAGCCCAGAACTCACCCCCCTCCCCATTCTGTGTAGATTCTGCTGTAGACTGTAAGCCCCGTGGGGCAGAGCCAACCTGGAGAATAAACACGCCTTGAAAAGAGCTGCATGCCGTGTGTCTGTTTTTTCCTTCCAGGGCTGCAGGAGAGGTGAGGGTGGCCAAGTTTGATAAACAGTAGCAATAAATGGAGGAAAAGTCTGGGAAGGGGCCAAGAGCCCCTCTCTGCCCCCCTCAAGGCTCCTCCATTTTTGGAGGGCCAGGAAGTGAATGGCCCCTGCAGCTTTGCCTGCTGGAAAGGGGGCGACATCGCCTCCTGGGCCTCCTCCGCAGCTTCACTTCCAGACCGGTCAGGAATTGGAGGGGAGCAGGGTGCTCTGTGCATGGCGATTGGGTGAGGGCAAGAGAGAACCCAGAAGTGGGTGGATTGAGCCGGGAAGAGAGAGGAGAGCAGCAGCCGGGGGGGGGGGAGGGAGGGAGTGGGGGGCTCCTTGGTGTTTTTCTCTGCCAGGTTGAGAGGGGCTCCAAGCCCTCTTTGAACCGCCCTGTGGCCATGGCATTATTAATGAAATGCAGGTATTGCACACTTCTTTTGATTAACATATATGCCCCTCCCCAAAGAGGCAAGCAGCCTATTAAAAATCTCTGGCATAGGATAGAATCATATGTCGATGAGCTAATGAATCAAACTCCTGCAGCGGCAGTGCTGCTGGCTGGGGATTTAAATGCCAGAATTGGCCAATCAGACGAAGCGTTATATGCCCATTTTCATGACGTACCTCCCATTTCTGAAGAAGCCCATTCTATTCCCCCAAGGCTCTCAAAAGACAAGGGCTGCAACTACGCAGGCCTATGTCTTCTACGTTTTTCCAACAATCTGGATCTGACTGTATTAAATGGTCGTGTTGACAGAGAACCCAGTGGGGAATTTACATTTATATCCAACATGGGAGCCTCCACTATCGATTACGTCCTGGTGTCATCTAACCTTCTGAGCAGAGCACGGGAATGTAAAGTGGTGGAGAGGGTTGACAGCGACCATCTACCGCTCTGTTTAATATTGGATGTAAGAAAAGATTTATTATGCTCTGATAAACTTGTAGCCCCATGTTTCGAAAACATGGAGCTAAGATACTCACGCATTAAATGGTCCAGCAAATTGAGTGATGAAATATCGGAAAGACTTCACTCAGATACTTTTCTTGCTAGAAAGGAGAACCTTGTCAATTCCCCAACTCCTGAGGCTAGATTAGACATGTTCTGCGAACTGATCTCGTCTCTACAACCTTATCTGACCAACAAAAAAACGTCATGGCAATCTCTACACTTTCATAAATCCAAACCTTGGTTTGACCAAGAATGCATGGCTATGAAACGCCTCCTGCTGGATAAGTACAGGAACTATAGATTAGCGAACTTACCTTCGCTTCCATTAGACTGGTTTGAGTTAAAACGCAGCTATAAAGCTTTAACAAGAAAAAGCTCCAGTGTTATGTAGTGTAGTTTCACCCTGGGCCAACAGGGGGATACTGTATATAGTTTTCACTCAGGTCTGTAGATAGTTTTCACTCAGGTCCGCGGCAGTTATTTTAGGCGGGAACTCTGGGCTGTTGTGGTTACAATGTTGACAGCCGGCTGCCTATAAATACAGGCCGGCTGAGCTGTTCGCAGTCAGTTCTATTCCAGCTTACCATAATAAAGAGCTACTTGAAGAAATCGCTGTGCCGGCTGCTATGTCAACCCACGACTTAACACTGGCGACGAGGATGGGATGGATGGACATCAGAGCACAGCCAGATGCGGCCAGCCTCTGAACTGAGCTGAATCACTGAGCTGAATCACAGAGCGAAATCACTGAGCGAAATCACTGGGCAGAACCAATTCAGAGCTGACTGTTCTGGCTAGAGCACTGTGTTCCATCCATCGCCCTTCACGCCGGCATCGGAAATCATGGCTTCACTTGTGCCTCTACCGCCGTTTGCGCCAGCCTCTGAATCATGGGACTCCTACCTCGCTCGGTTCGAACTGCTACCCCAAGCCAACGAGCTGACAGCAGTATCAAAGGATCGGAAGCGGGGCCTATTCCTCAGCCTCTGTGGGCCTGAGGTGTTTGAGACGGCCCGACGCGTTGTTGCGGCCTGAAGCAGGCACCAAAGCCGTCCAAGATTGCTGCCCGCCATGCGTTCTACCACCGGAACCAGGCAGAGGGGGAGTCATATCAACAACTACACCACCTGCCCTGCGACAGGCTGCAATGCACTGGGAGTTCCGAGACTTAGACGATGCCCTGATGGATCGAATCGTCTGCGGGGTCCGGGACCATCCATTCTGCAACGGCGCCTCCTAGCCAAGCCAGACCTCACGCTACAGAAAGCCATTTGAGGAGGCTGTGGCCTCAGAAGCTGCTGAACGCTCCGCCCAGGAGATCCGCAAGTCCAGCAGCCCGCGTCTTGCTAGGGAGCCAGTTCCGGTGCATCATGAAGAGGCCAGCAGTGAGGAGGCATCCTCCAGTGAAGACCGATGACGTGCACCCAGACAAAGCGGGAGCGCAGGCAAGTTCCAACAGAAGTCCAAGGGCCAACCGGAATGTGCTGGCTTGCGGAGGCAACCATTTCCCGTGCCAAGTGTCAATTCAGAGACGCATCTGTAGGAAGTGTTCCAGAAGGGGCCACATCGCTAAGGTCTGCCGATCGCTCCGGTCTGACACCCCCCCTTCATCGACTCGCAAGTCCAAGTCTTCACTCCAGTCTGCCAAGGAAAGTTGTTTCGCTCTCACCAACTGCCACTGCCGTCTGGAACCACGATTGGCCAAACCGACTCGCCTACGCGGACGCAAGCTGAACGTCACGGTGCTCATTGAAGGAGCTCCATGTGACATGAGAGATCACCGGGTCTGCCCTGTCCATCGTGTCATGGAGCACCATCAAAAGACTGGTACCCAGAGTGGTCCAAAAGGCAGCTCGACTCCTCACCGCGTACACCTGAGAGACTACCAGGGAAACGACATTCCCGTGGTTAGGCGTTAGCCAGGTATCCCGGATCGCCTTCCAAGGATTTTTTCGGGCCTGGCTCCGGTTGGGTGGTTCTCGAAGGTGTCAGCGGCCAAGCCTCCTAGGGCTAGACTGGGGTTTGAATGCCCTCGGCCTGGAAGTCACTGGCATCAAAAAACTGCATCTCTGAACGCTAGAGACTGAGGGTCCTGGGATCCGAGGGCGCACAAACTGCGTGCCCAGAGCCCGCAATGCGGCTCTTTAAACCTTTGCTGCGGCAGCTCCGCCGGGGCGGTGGCGAGGGGGACTGAGTAGAGGCGAGGCGAGGCGAGGGGCGGAGGTGACCAGCACTCCTGCAGCCCGGCGGGCGGGCGCCGTATAAGCAGAGCGCTCACCCCTCGCCAGAGAACATCACACTGCAGCCCGCGCGGCAGCGATGGGGAGCCCCTTGCCGGAGGGTCCGGCAGGCCCACGCGCGGATTAGCCAACACTCCACAGTGGCCGCCCGCGGGCGGGCGCCGTAAAGAAAGAAGGAGGCGCCCCCCTCGCCCAGGCAGACATCCAAGCGCAGCGTGGGGAAGCCTTGCCGGAGGTCCCGGCAAGGCTCCCACGCTGCGGATAGCAGCCTGCCGCCCGGGGCGGGGCGCCGTAAAGAAGAGCGCCCCCTCGCCAGGCAGACATCCGCAGCGTGGGGAGCCTTGCCGGAGGTCCCGGCAAGGCTTCCCACGCTGCGGATAGCAGCCTGCCCTGCCCGGCGCGGGCGCCCAAAGCAGAGCGCCCCCTCGCCAGCAGACATCCGCAGCGTGGGGAGCCTTGCCGGAGGTCCCGGCAAGGCCCACCCTGCGGATAGCAGCCTGCTGCCGCGAGGGGCGCCCTAAAGCAGAGCGCCCCCTTGCCAGGCAGACATCCGCAGCGTGGGGAGCCTTGCCGGACTTCCCGGCAAGCTCCCACGCTGCGGAATAGCAGCCTGCCGCCCGCAGCATCGGCCACCCCCACAAGCTCCGGGGACAGCAGGGAGGCGAAGCGCCGCCATCCCGCTGTTCCCGACCTGGTCAGTTTCCCCGACCTGCTTTTGGGGGAAATAAAGGGAAATTTTTTCCCCTTTATTTCCCCCAAAAAAACTAGGTGCGTCTATGGGACGAGCGTCCTATGGGCGAAAAATACGGTATTTTATAATGACGAATGCCTCATTATTAATATTATTTACATCAGGTACTGTTATGATTTATGGTACACTGGGGCCCAGATTAATTTCTATGGCATTTTGGGCATTGATTGGGCATAGCAAGTCGCGGTCGCGTGGAATTTGTGCTTTGTGACCTTGAAGTGGGGTTTTTTTCTTGGGAGGCTGGGCGGCACGAAGAGAGGGATTATTTTTATAATGATGAGGATGACATTGGGCCCTCATTATTAATTATTTACATCAGGCACTGATTATGATTTATGGTTCACTGGGCCCTGGTTAATTTTCTTTGGCATTTGTGGCATTGATTATGCAGTCGCGGTCGCGTGGAATTCCACGTGGAGTTAGTTGCCTGAAGCCCCTTTTTAGTTGCTTGAAGCCCCTTTTTAAACTTAAGCAGGTGAAATTTGGTGAATTGCTGCCAAGGAGTGTGGTGGAGTCTCCTTATTTGGAGGTCTTAAGCAGAGGCTTGACAACCATATGTCAGGAGTGCTTGATGGTGTTTTCCTGCTTGCAGGGGGTTGGACTCGATGGCCCTGTGGTCTCTTCCACATATGTATGTGAGCAGGTCTTCTCCAACATGAACTATATTAAAAACAAGCACCGATCACGCCTCACAGATGACAGCTTGCAAGCCTGTGTGAAAATGAAGGTGACGTCTTACAGCCCTGATGTGCAGACACTGAGCACTGAGGTTCAGGAGCAAAGTCCCATTAACCTGGTTACCTGGTTGTAAATTAAATATTTTAATTAGCTATTAATTTGTCCTTTTTTCTTGAGATTGACAGCTGACTGCACGATCCTGTATATATAGCATTAAGGCCAGAAACAATATATGTAGTGTTATATTTGTTTTAAATGTTGCAATGTTTTTGCGGCTCCCAGTTGTTGTTGTTTTTTCGGAAACGGGTCCAAGTGGCTCTTTTTGTCTTA